TCTATCTATCTATCTATCTATCTATCTATCTCTTTTTTTTCTCGCTCACACTCATAGTAATAAATGGAACAAAACTCTCTCTCTCTCTCTCTCTCTCTCTCTCTCTCTCTCTCTATTGTGTGTGCTGCTAGTTTCATTGTTTTGGCTACCTAAGGGTTGCGTTCCCCGCGCCTACGCGGTAGACAATTGACAGCTCTAAGGTTGCGGTCTACTGGGGTTCGACGTTTGTGTCAAGGTGTCATATTTTTGGAGGCCCCGACCAGAACGCAAAGTGGGTTCTTAGGGCAAAAAAAATTGGAAAACCGGTCCTTTCCAAAATTGCGGACTACTTACAGCTACCTATGGTAGAACTGGGAATTTTGAAAAAATGAAGGATCCGTCCTCGGGTGGAAGTGGACCCCAAAAAGAACAAAAAGAAGTGGGGGGCGTTGGACAGGTCCACAGGTGGAAGCGGACCCCAAGACAAAGTGAGGCTATGTGAATTGTCTACCTCGTGGGCGCAGGGAACTCAGCCCTAAGATAGCCAAAGCAATGAGATTAAGAGCACACACAAAAGAGAAAGAGACATAGAAAGATATATAGAGAGAAAAAAAAATGGTTTTGTTTCATTTGTTGATATGAGAGAAAGAGAGAGAGAGAGAGAGAGAAAGAGAGAGGTTAAATAGCAAAAGAAAAATATGAGTCAAATTGCGGTTGCGATATATCACACATGGAATGTTTTTTTTTTAATTATGTAACATTTTTCATAGAAATATCACAATAAAATTTACGAGTACGACAATTTTAAGGTTTTTTAACGCATTCTTCTGAGCGCGATAACTCACTGAATATGAAGTAGTTTTTCAGTTGACCCACACATGGATGATTGGCAAGAATGGAAAATATGTCGAATTGGCGCAACGATTATTTTGCGGTCTAAATCATTTTTTGAAAATATTATGATATTTTTCCTCGAAAGAACACAACCTCATCTACGGTTTTTCAAAATTTCATATTTTTTTGTCGATTCCTCCGAGCACATTAAATTGTCAAAGATGCCTCTTGCAAACCGCATTTTTCGTTGCGCCTAACTTCCCTGTTTCGAGAAGACGGGCCTCAACGCCTGGGTCCGAGGGCCCTTTTGCAATTCACATGCCCTCATTTCTTTGAGGGGTCCGATTCCACTTGAGGACCGCCAAAACTGCGAGACCTTGACACAGATGCCGACATTTCGTCATATTTTGTTGTGATCTGCAGCCTCTTTGCAATCCATTGCAGTTCGGTCCAGCTTGAGCATCGAAGTTCCACCCTATATGTGAACCGTGACAGCAATGTGGCATAATTTTTCTGGTCGCTTGAAGACTCCATTTGTGCTGCTTTTGTCATACTGGTCTTCATCACCAAAGACCTTGGTGAGAAAGAGAGGGGGAGGGGGGTGGAGAGAGAGAGAGAGAGAGAGAGAGAGAGAGAGAGAGAGAGAGAGAGAGATGAGAAAGACGGAGGCCAAAAGGTTGTCAAGTGTCACGGTGCTTAACCTGTGCTTATGTGTGAGAGAGAGAGAGACACCTGACCCTCCTTACCTGAGATGTAAGGGTGGGTAAGTATAAAGTTTTCCTTACAAGCTATGAAACGAAAAAAAAAAAAAAAAAAGGTAAATTAATCACCTTGGCCCAGTTAGCTTAATATCTTTTCTCTTATTTTGAATTTATACGTATCATCCTTGCGCAGAGGTCATACCAATCTTCATTGTCTGTATCGTACTAAGGACTTAGATGTCTCAATAGTGAAGGTCATAACAAATGACGATTATGAAGAGGCTATATTTTCGAGTAAGTGTACGATCTTCATAAATTTATTTCAATGGTTGTAAGTGAAAGCTACATGAAAAACATGAAACAAACAATCATAGCTCATAAAACAATAACAATTTTAATGACAAAGTCTAATCGGAAAAATATATATAATGTCAAATGGCCCTAAGTGTCAGTCATATTAAATGAATACTTCTTCTATAGGTGTCATATGAAACATCAATAAAGACCCTACATGAAGGTCATAAGAAATGATGATTTGAACGATGACACATGATGACTTCAAATTTTCGTAAGTAAATATCACATTAAATGACTTTTTCATGTATACGAAAGTCATGTGAAACTATGATAGAGGCCCTAAGTGAAGTTCATAAAAAATAACGACTTTGATGTGGTCTCTGTTTAAGATACATATACCAACGTCACAAAATCATTTGAATGACTCTAAGTGAAAGTCAATGTATATATTATACGAAGTTAAAAACTCTAGTATGGGATGAGTGTACCACCTTTATAAATCTTTTTCAATAGCTCTACGTGAAAGTAATACGAAAATAACCTTTAAAATATTGTAAGAAATAATACATGTTTTTTATTTAAACAATACTTCTTGACTAACAAATTAATGTCAAACAATTTGTGTTTTGCTATGTTGCAGATTATTCTTTATTTATTTATTAAAAATAAAATTTTAAAAATTATGATGCAATGGTTACAGGTCAACATTCGACATTAATGAATAACGATATGCAACAATTATTTTTTGATCACATATCAAATATCAAGCTACATGACACGGTAACACAAAAAGTAATTGAAAAACATTTTCAATCAATTTTTGTATAAAAAAAAAAATATATAATTCACTTTCTAAATTAAATAATAAAAAAAAGACATGTAATTAATTACTACAAAAATCTTTAGACTTTTTTTTTTTTTTTTTCCCTAAAGAACGGTTAAGGTGTCGTATGATCT